AGCCGTGTGTTGCTCCCCACGAATAGATTGGAGCATCATCTCAAAAAAAGAGAAAAAAAAGAAAAACAATCGTTTGCAACGCATATGCAAAAATTTGGGGGCCCTCTGTATACATACAAGCTGAAAGAGGCTGATGTATACAGTACATCATCTCGGTGCCACGGTTGGTTCTAGTATTTTACTCATCTGCTTCCACTGGAGTTAGTACTCAGCACATGGTCCGTATTTCAACAGTTCAGGGGTGTCCCGACCGAGCCAGTTCAGTTGGTATAAAGTTATTAAAATTGTAGTGTTTGTATTTTACTCATCTGCTTACAGTGGAGTTCGAACTCGGTCGGGTCTGTATCAACGGTTCAGCCCCTTTAGGGCTGTGTCCAAACTGAGCTAGCCCAGTTGGTTACACTACGTTGGTTCTGTTCCTTTCTCAGACACAGAATTCCATGTCTGTGTGTCCAAACTGAGCTAGCCCAGTTGGTTACACTACGGTGTTTTTTTTTTTTTTTTTTTTTTTTTTTTTTTTTTTTTGCTCTGCACGTATTCCTGCTCCTTCTATTCTGGTTCTGTTCCTTTCTCGGACAAAGAATTCCATGTCTCCATTGGGTTTTTCCCAGGGGGGCAAGCAATGCTGACGATTCTGCAGAGATTTTGTGAGATATTCATCAGGGGATTGTCTCAGTGGGGACGCTGGACCCATTTTCCAGCACAAGCTAAAGCTGCCGTCTTCGCCCGAATGGAACGTACGGTAGTTATAGCTGTATTTTGCTCACCTAGATGCAAAAAATGACCGTACGTTCATTCTATAAGGGGGAATGAGGGTAATGGCCTCAGCAATTCCGGGTTGTATGTGAGGATTCCCAGCCTCCTGTTTCTTCATTTCGAAAAAAAAAATTCCATTAAAAAACAAAAACGTGCCCTGCGGCCCCTGCCTCCAATTTTGTCTACTGAAGCAGCCATGGATGCAGAGCGAGAGAGAATTATTCTCCCCTATCCATCATATAGGAAGATATCAGATCGTCCTTCGGGACATCCGTTAAAATTGGAACGATACAGAGAAGATTAGCATGGCCCTTGCGCAAGGATGACACGCATAAATCGAGAAAAGGAAGATATCAGATCGTTCGTGGCTCAGTTGGTACAGCCATGGACTGTTACTGCTGAAATACAGACCCAAGTTCGAATCCACATGTACGCAGACGAACAGACTACAAGAATTATGAAGGGGCCGGTCAGTTCAATGACTATATCTCAAGGCCGTCAACCTTTGTTCATTACGAGGTAGAAAGGAAGATCTCATCTGAGCGAGCCCTTGCAAAGTTCACGGCTGAGAACCGAATGGAAGATATGTAGCAAACACATTACCTCGTTGTTGTTGTTTTTTTTGTTGTTGTTGTTTTTTTTAAGCAAATGCGTGTGTTTGTGTATGGGCCTCGTTAGACCCTCCTTAAAAAATCCTCAGGAATAAGGACGAACTCCATGGACAATTTCAAGGAATTCAGCGTCATCGTTACACCGTGTCCTTGGAGCGTCGGCTTAGAGATTCGTCCTTGGAGCTTTTGGGGGGGGAAAAAGAAAACAGAAAAAGAAAAACAGTTGTGCTTGAGGCTTTCAGCCAATAGGGTGTCGCCACGCTCCCGGTTCGACCGTTGTAATGTCCCCACTACATGTGTGTCCTCTCCTCTCCGTCAATCACGGCTCCTTGAGCCCAAGGGACCTCAGGAGGACCCTTTGAATCCAAGGACGCAATGGCTGGCGATTCTGAGGATCCCCAAGGAAATCTCTCGGGAGCGTTTTCACTTTGGGCCTCGTTAATCCAAGGAATTCGGTGGATTAGGATGCGGTGTAACCATGCCAAATTCCTAAAAATCGCCTTCCCAAGGAGGGTCTAACGAGGCCCTATGTGGGAAAGAAACTAATGCCTGTTTTTCTGTGTACGGTCCAGGCGCCCGGCCGACCGGCGCCTGCCCGGGGGAGGTCCCGGGCGGCCTGGCCGGGCGGGCGGCCCGGTTGGGGGCCGGGCCCCCCCAGCACACCTTAACAGCGGGGGGGTTTCGACCCCGAATCAGCTCCATTTCTTGTTGCCAGGGCCTACCAGGTCCGACCACGCCAAGAAAACGGCGCGTCGGGCCCGTGAGGCCTGCTTTTTTTTTTTGAATTTTTGACGGCCCTCCGACCGTCGATCATCCATGATCGACGGCCAGAGGGCCGTTTGTTTTTGGAGGGAAAAGCAATGCCCCGTTTGAACATGCGATTGCCTGGGGCGGTCTGCATCGGCTTTCGAAACGGGGCCCCTCCTCCAGCTGCCTGCCTTCGTCATTGCGTCCGTCCTTCGTCGAAGCAGCTGCGAGTCGTCGCCATCGCCTGGGACAGCCGTCGCCCGTAGCCCGTCGCCAGGACGGACGTCGAAGCAGCTGCGAGTCGTCGCCATCGCCTGGGACAGCCGTCGCCCGTAGCCCGTCGCCATCGCCATCGCCGTCGCCGTGACCCGTCGCCCCCCGCCGTCCATCGCCGTGCTGCTCCCTGCCAGCATCCTCTGCCGCCCGTCGACGAAGACTGCCGGTCTGATCTTCTTCTTCTTCTTCTTCTTCTTCTTCTTCTTCTTCCTCTTCTTCTTCCCTCCTCCTCCTCCTCCTCTTATTCTTCTGCTTCTTCTTCTCTCCTCCTCCTCCTCCTCCTCCCCCTCTCATCTTCTTCTTCCTCTTCTTCTTCTTATTCTTCTTCTTCTTCTTCTTCTTCTTCTTCTTATACCTTCGCCACCTTTCTTTTTTTTCTTTTTTTTTTTTCATTCGTTCGTTATAGGTCGCGAGATAAACGGCAGGTGAAAGAAAAGAAAAAAAAACTGCTCCGCTCGTCATCTTTTCTTCTTCTTCTTCTTCTTCTTCTTCTTCTCTCCTCCTCCGCCTCCCCCTCGTCTTCTTCTCCTTTCTCTTCTCTCCTCCTCCTCCTCTTCCSCCCACACTCTTCTTCTTCATACTCTTCGACCGCCATACCCTAACGGCATACCGCGCCGCCATTTCCCTCCACCGCTGCCGTAACCCTAGCCGCCATTCTTCTTCTTCTTCTTCTTCTTTTCTCCTCCTCCTCCCCCTCGTCGTCTTCTCCTTCCTATTCTCCCCTCATCCTCCTCTTCGGCCCATCTTCTTCTTCTTCTTCTTCTTCTTCTTCTTCTTCTTTTCTCCTCCTCCTCCCCCTCGTCTTCTTCTCCTTCCTATTCTCCCCTCGTCCTCCTCTTCGGCCCTTCTTCTTCTTCTTCTTCTTCTTCTTCTTCTTCTTCTTCTTCTTCTTTTCTCCTCCTCCTCCCCCTCTTCTTCTTCTCCTTCCTCTTCTCCCCTGGTCCTCCTCTTCCGCCCATCTTCTTCTTCTTCTTCTTCTTCTTGTAGCCTAGCCGCCACAGCCTGCCGCCATACCCCGCCACTGCAGTATACCGCCCTGCCGCCGCCGCCTTCACCATCTTTTCAGCTCGCGTGAGGCGCGGCAGGTTTTAAAAAAAATAAAAAAATTCTTCGTCTTCTTCTTCTTTTCTCCTCCTCCTCCCCCTCATCTTCTTCTCCTTCCTCTTCTCTCCTCCTCCTCCTCTTTCGTCCATCTTCTTCTTCTTCTTCTTCTTCTTCTTTTCTCCCCCTCCTCCCCCTCCTCTTCTTCTCCTTCCTCTTCTCTCCTAGTCCTCTTCCATCCATCTTCTTCTCTTCTTCTTCTTCTTCTTCTTCCTGTAGCCTAGCCGGACGGGTCTAACGCCGCCATACCCCGCTACCACAGCATACCGCCCTGCCGCCGCTGCCATCTTCACCATCGCTTTAGCTCGCATGAGGCGCGACAGGTTAAAAAAATAAATAAAAAAAATCATCATCTTCTTCTTCTTCTTTTTCTTCTTCTTTTCTCCTCCTCCTCCCCCTCATCTTCTTCTCCTTCCTCTTCTTTCCTCCTCCTCTTTCGTCCATCTTCTTCTTCTTCTTCTTCTTGTAGCCTAGCCGCCACAGCCCGCCGCCACAGCCCGCCGCCATACCCCGCCACCACAGTATACCGCCCTGCCGCTGCTGCCTTCACCATCTTTTTAGCTCGCGTGAGGCGCGGCAAGTTTAAAAAAAATAAAAAAAATCTTCGTCTTCTTCTTCTTTTCTCCTCCTCCCCCCCCTCATCTTCTTCTCCTTCCTCTTCTCTACTCCTCCTCCTCTTCCGTCCATCTTCTTCTTCTTCTTCTTCTTCTTCTTCTTCTTCTTCCTGTAGCCTAGACGCCACAGCCCGCCGCCATACCCCGCCACCACAGCATACCGCCCTGCCGCCGCCGCCATCTTCACCATCGCTTTAGCTCGCGTGAGGCGCGGCAGGTTAAAAAAAAAAGAAAAAAAAATCATCTTCTTCTTCTTCTTCTTCTTCTTCTTCTTTTCTCCTCCGCCTCCCCCTCATCTTCTTCTCCTTCCTCTTCTCTCGTCCTCCTCTTCCGTCCATCTTCTTCTTCTTCTTCTTCTTCTTCTTCTTCTTCTTCTTTTCTTCTTCATCTCCCCCTCGTCTTCTTCTCATACCTCTTCTCTCCTCGTCCTCCTCTTTCGTCCATCTTCTTTTTCTTCTTCTTCTTGCAGCCTAGCGGCCACAGCCCGCCGCCATACTCCCTCCCATCTCGCCATACTCCCTCCCTCCCTCGCCATCTCACCATCCTTCCCTCCCTCCCTCCCTCCCTTCC